TTTTTAGGTCTACCTCTACTTTTCTTAACATAAGTCAAATTTAATACATCAACTTTCCTAACTGGGTCATCGGAAGGCCGCCGTTTTATGTGACCAAACCATCTAAGGTGACTCCTAATCTTATCTGCCTCTAGAGCTACTCGAACCTTTTCACGTATATGCTCGTTTCGTATTCTGTCTCTAAGAGTAAAGCCACTCATCCACCTGAGCATCCTTATCTCTGCAACACTTAACTTAATATTATGCTTCTCTTTTAATTACCAACATTCTGCGCCATAAAGCATTGTAGGTCTAACCACCATCTTATAGAATTTTCCCTCAAGTTTGTGTGGTACTTTTCTATCACACAACAAGCTCGATGCATTCCTCCACGTCAACCATCCAACTTGAATTCTATTAATAATATCCCCATCTATTTCACCATTACTATGAACAATAGACCCAAGATATTTAAAACGTGTACTCTTATTAATGCTTGATATCTCAAAGTCACAAACCCCCCACTAGATCTATTACTTCTAAAATTACACTCCATGTATTCGGTTTTAAATCTACTCAAATAAAAACCTTTAGACTCTAAGGTTAAAATTACACTCCAGGGAACTCCAATCAAATAAAATTTCTAGCTTATATTACATTTTTTATATTTGAGATTTTTACATTACAAAGGACATTCTTCTTGAATTTAAATAAAAAATAGCTTAAATAAAATAACAAAATGTAATAAAATATAATAGAGTCAATTTCTACTAGTCCTTATGAATCTAGTGATTGGTCTATATTGAGCCTATTCTACATAAGAGATTGCCACTTTTGGGGTCTATTATTTCATACTAAGAATGATGCCCTTTGGTTTTGCTTAGAGGAACTTAAGCTGTTTTAAGAGAAGATTTTCTTTTGAGATGAATATCGAACAAAATATACTAAAGAATACTTAGAGTATACCATCTCCCCTAGGTATAAAAGTTTGGATGTCTTGCTATGAGTTCTATTAGAAAAGGTATTCTTGGGTTAGGAAGGGAAAAAACTTAGGATTGATTACTAAAAATTCTGTACTTTATGGAGTGGACGGCATTGTGTGACTTAGAGAATGGGTGTTTAGTAATCGACAAACAAAACTTGGAATGTGGAAATATAATAACTACCAGCTTGGATCTATATTTATTTAGGTTGATCTTGAATCTTGGATGATTTTGTTACAATGTTTCTATTATATGAACAACTGGAGCACTAGTTGAAAAAAAAAATTTGCAATATCACTTTACGATTTAATCAATGCATCTCCCTCCCAACCACCATAAAAACACAAAAACGCATCAGAAAGGAGACATTTTCTTTTATTGGTTCATTAATCAATGATTTCTAGCACTTTATCAATCTGTATTAAGTTATAATGATACAGTAATTCGTGGAATGTTTATCAACAGCTGCTGATTCAATCCTCCCATAATGATTAAAGATGGTGTTAATGATGTGTTCCCCAATTAAAATGTGTGGCCAGCAACAGGTGTTACCTTAGTAATCCAGTTTTGTAAATTCATAAATTGATTCATTAATTTTATATTTATTCTTATATAGATCAGTCCAACTTTATGATGTTTTATTCCTGTGATTAGGCAAAGTCAATATTTTATTTTTGCAAACTTGAGGATTTTTTATTTACTTGATCCTAGCCATACATTTTTGCTTATTCATTTTCTCTAGTTATTCCCTAAAGGCTGCATCTTCCTTAAATTTACTTGCAGTTTGTTGATTAGCTTATGATCATGTCGTAGATTTCCTGATTTGTTTCTTGTAACACTTCAAATAGCTTATGATGTTTTTCCTGTTATAGACATTGCATAATCTTCTTATGCATTATTATTACACTGTAAACCGTTTCTGCTAGAGCTCGTTGCTTTTTACCATTCAATAATTCCAGGCATTTGTGGATGGAAGAAATCCTCTTATGATCTAAAATGTGCTCTTCATGCTAATAACACACCTATCCATGGTGGCTATTAGCCTATTACGTGTGTAAGTGAGCCAGCCGGCTCGAGCTCGACTCATTTATGGGCTCACAAGCCGAGCTCGTTTAGTAAACGAGCTCGACTTCGTACTTGAGCTGGCTCGGCTCGTGATCTCGCAAGCTAGCTTGAATAAATATTAATATTTTAAAAATAATTTTAGTTTATTTATTAAATTTAAATATATAAAAAGTTAATAAAAATCACCTAAATTTTATTTAAATGCTAAACATTTCATTTTTTTCCCTCAAATTTGATTAAGTTTTAAAAATCCCTCTTTAAGTTTTAAAAATCCCGCCTAATTTTTTAAAATTCCGCCTAAATTTAAAAATTTCCGCCCATGGCCCGCGAGCCAGCTTGAGCTCGTTTACAGTGAGATGAGCTCAAGTTCGAGCTCGCTTTCCAACTAACGAGTCGAGCTCGATAAGGGCCTAAACTCGACTCGACTCGACTCATTTACACTCCTAGTGGCTATAGAGACCTATTGTAGACACATTTTGTCTAAATTTATCTAATTTTAGTTTGTACATGATCTGATGATTGACAGTGTCAATGTAACAATGGGATTGAAGGAAGATCGAATGATGATGACTGGCATGCATACTGTTTCTGACATCTTCTGTGTTGGTTGTGGCTCCATTGTTGGTTGGAAATATGTAAGCAATGCATTTGAATGCATTATAGCAATTTTATAGGTCTTATAATTTCACCTGTTCTTCAGGAAGCTGCTCATGAGAAGAGCCAAAAGTACAAAGAAGGAAAGTTTATCCTTGAAAGGTAACAATTGAGAGCTCAGAAAGCAATAGGAAGCATTCTTTTTTTCTGATAAATCTCTTATTGTTAGCCAGATCTTTAAATATTTCTGAGGCAACTAATCATCCCTGAACAGGTATATGGTAGCAGGCCCTGATGGAAGCCAGTACTTAGCAAATCTAGATTCTCATGTTGGAGGAAGCGATGCAGATGATGCATAATTTGGTCAGTAATTGAATTGTTGCAGTCTCTTACTTTTATTCGACCGTTTATTATGGTTCTGGATATTGTTTTTAGCTCTTAGGAAGCTGAGCATACTAAACAATATGATGGGTTGTGATGTTATGGTTATCTACTTTAGCTGTATACATTTCCTTCAGGTTGAACGCTAGCTAGCTAGCTGAATTAACAGATATTCTACTAAATCTCATTCATTAAAGTTTGATCTGATCCTAAGCATCTACATCCCCAATTTCTTTCTGTTGTTTGAATGGTACTGTAATCCTATATGTAAATCATTAGAATTCAGATTCCATTGATTTGATCTCATTGGGATAGAGGATAAGATGCCTTAATGTTTAAGTTTGATATAATTGTCAGATTATACTAATCCTAGCTTAGTGGTGATGGTAGAAGATAGACTTAGGTTTTGTTTGAGACAGCTTTCTTACTGCTTTTTAAAGCAATTTTTTAGTACAAAAAATTTTAGTCAAAAATATTATTATACTAAAAATTTGTTTTAGAAATTAGCAAGAACGCTATCCCAAATGAAACGTTAGGCTTCGTTTGGGATAACTTTCTAAAACAGTTTTTTAGTACAATAATTTTTGGCTTAAAAAATTTTTACACTAAAAAACCGTTTTAAAAAGTGGGAAGAAAACTATTCCAAACGAAGCCTTAGCGGGAAAAAGTTTAAAATTTATGCTCCAAATTGCTAGCATAGGGGAATGTGTGTTTGAGCACTAATTTTGCAGCTAAAGTTCGACTCTTATCTAATTTTTTATGCATGTTTAATATATTATTAAATTATTGAAAATAATTCAATTTATTTTATAAATAATTTTATGTTGTAAATTATAATTAATGCTGTGATGTTGAGTTCCAAGGCTATAAAATGGCGGGTATAAAGATAAAATTAAATGACAAATTCCATTGCATTTATGTTATAATTTTAATTAGAATGAGTTTTTATAGCTGTTAAATTTATTTTTTTTATAAGTATAAATAAATTTTGATTGATTAGTAATGGAGATTGTTTGATTATTCAATTAATATTCAAAAGTTTTCAAAGATCCTCAAAGTTCTTTGATTGGGTTTATTTGGAGTCAAATTAGATCATTAGTGTTGTGATAGGTTCGTCTCGTTGATTTGTTCAACTTGATTATATGCTTGTTGAATTCAAAGTTTAGATGGTCTGGAATTTAATTCTGAAAGTTTTTAATTCAATTATGGCTCAAAATTTATGATGCTAGTTAAATTTTCTAGAGTTGTACAATTTGCCCCCGATTTTTTTGGAACATTTTTGGTCGTCAAAGATTGTCATTCAAAAATATATATAAATAATTGAAAATTTTGTGGCACAAAATTGCAATTAAAGAAAATTACGAGGTGTGACTGTTCCTTAGACGTCAACATGGATATCTCATCGGAATCATAAACAAAGTAAAATATCGTTAATTATAAATTCAGCTTTTCATAAAGTCAATACGGCCATTGGAGCAAAAATTAATCAAATTTTACTCTAAAATTTTCAAATATACTTGAATTTAATCATAAAAGCTTTGTGAAGCTTCCAAAATATTAAAATTGAGTACAAAATGTTGACAAAGGATCTTAGGGACCCCAAAAATGCTGGAATAGATCTGTGTGGCCCCGAAATCTAGGCCATGCCAGCTTGGTTGGCCAACCGGTAGGCGGACATCACTGGTGATGCTTATTGACACGGGGAGGGGGAAGAGTCTCATAATTTAATGTGCCATTTGAGCATCTTCATAGAGGAGGAGCATCTATTTCTTAGAATTTTTTTATTTTTTTATTTTATATAATTTTATTCATAAGAGAGAGATTTTGAGCCTCTCGAGAGGGAATAATTATTAGGTCTGGACACCTGACGTAGCTCTACATCCGGACGCCAATAACATGCTGCCACATGCTCTTACTCTTTACCGCGTGGCCCGACAACTCGGACCCGATATTGCTTTGTATTGGCTGATTTGTGCAGATCGGGGTATTGCTAGGTATTGCTCGGTATTCCTCGGCAATAACGAGAAATACCAATCTGTCAAGACCCGAGCAATACCTAGCAATACCCTGATTTTGTTAGGTATTGCTCGGTATTGCTAGATATTGGTCTTGATAGAGCGGTATTTCTCGTTATTGTCAAACAATACATAGCAATACCGAACAATACCTAGCAATACCCGAACATAGCAATACCGGGATCCGGTCTTGGTCCGGGTCGTCAAGCCGCGCGGTAAAGAGTAAGAGCACGTGGCGACATGTTATTGGTGTCCGGATGTAGAGCTACGTCAGGTGTCCAGACCTAATAATTATTCCCTCTCGAGAGGAGCCAATTTCCTCCCTCTAGGAGGTATTTATACTTAAAGAAGGGAGAAGGAAAGTTCCAAAAAATTCAATAGTTTTTTTAAATAAAAAAAATAGTCATTCGACCACCATTACCTATTTACGGTCCTTCAACTACCTTCACTCAACTTTGATCCCCTGAACACCATCGCTTAGCTAAGGTCCTTCGAACACTACCGCCCAACTAGAGTTCTCCGACCAATATTGCTTAACTATGGTACTTCAAGTATTGTCTTTTGATTACAACCCTACAACAATTCTCACCTAGCTATATATAATTGTCTAACTATTATTGTTTGAATACCATCATCTGTCTCTCATCACTTAACTGCAGTCCTCCAGCTACCATTGTTAGATTGTGGTCATTCGACAACCATCACTTGACTATGGCCAATTGCGATTACTCAACAATACCAAGCAGTACCGAGCCACGGTACTGACGTGGCTAATTTTTGTTGGTATCCGAACGGCATTCGGCTTCCACACAGAATAATTTCTACTTAAAATCAGCCTGAATTTCTAGAGGTGCCTAACTAAATATAGTGCCTAATAATTCTAATATATGCGCGCAAATCAAGCGGTAGGATATCCATTGTATCTGTCAAAGCACAAGGAAAATGTGGCACACAAAATCAAGCAATTTAAAAGAGTTTATTTATATTTTAGGAGAAAATAAAATTTTATTTAATATTCTATAATCATCATTTTTTTATTTTTATTGAATATTATGTACAATAGTGATGACATTGGTGCTAGAATGATTTTCATTTACAAATATAAAAAAATAAAAATAAAAATTAATTTTTTTTAAAATAATTTTGTTTGTTAAAAAAAATACAAATCCAATGTATTAAAAAAAAAGAAGCTCAAAGAATAAAATTGATAGTTTAATTATGTCACTATTGTTTCTTTTGAGTGTAGACCAATTCTTATATTAAAAACAACAATGTTTATCAATCTATCACTAACAATAATCCAGAAAAGAAAATTGAATGGCAAAGATTATTTAATTTTACAATCGGCCATATTCTATAGAAATTGGTTCCAACCACTGTGTTTTTTACACTGAACGAGAGTTTAAGAAATGCAAAATCTGAGCTAATAAGCTCTGCGAGTCAAAAAAGAATGAAACCTACACCAATATATCAAGCTGGATACATCTTAAATCACTTACAACTATTATCTGCAACATGGAAGGGGTCCTGCAATCTCATTCCCCATCTTCAGAATCTGCATTAGGATTTAAAAAATGTTATCAAATGACTTTTTTTTTTTTTAATCATTTATATCAAATGCTAAAAGTTATCAAATGGCTTGAACATAGAAGTGGATTAATGCATAGTACAGGAAATGAAGGATAAGGATCATGACTTCAATAAGAGTACACGTTTTAGATATCTTGAATCTATTGTTCAGAGTGATGGTGAAATAGACGGGGATATTATCAGCAGAATTTAAGTTGGATGGTTGAAGTGGAGGAATGCATCGGGCTTGTTTTTTAGATAGAAAAGTACCCCTCAAACTTAAGAGAAATTTTTATAAGATGGTGGTGAGACATGCAATGCTTTATGGTGCCAAATGTTGGCCATTAAAAGAGAAGCATAATACTAAGTTAAGTGTTGCAGAGATGAGGATGCTCAGGTGGATGGGTGGCTTTACCTTTAGAGATAGGATATGAAATGAGCATATACGTGAAAAGGTTGGAGTAGTGCCAGTGGAAGATAAGATTAGAGAGTCGCCTTGGATGGTTTGGTCGCATAACGGCGACATTCCGATGACCCGATTAGGAAAGTAGAGATATTAGATTTGACTTATGTTAAGAAAGGTAGAGGTAGACCTAAAAAATCTTAGTTAGAAAATATTATAAATGATCTTTCTTTATTAGATTTAAACGAGAATTTGACTTTTAACAGGACAGAATGGAGAAAAAAGATTCATGTAGCCGACCCCACGTAGTGGGACAAAGGCTGATGTTGTTGTTGTTGTGTTGTTGGACATATAGGCTAAAAAGCAAATTCACACACACACCACATATGCAAGACTCGAATCCAAATCTCTTGGTTGATAGTCAAAACTCCCAACCAACAGACCAAGGTGAGCTGTGTATCATGAAATTTGTATATTAGGATTTCCAAGCAAAAATTCATGCAGAAGTAAATCCATCAACAAATCCAAATAGATCTATGTAACTTATTCTTAAGCTCATTATAAGCGAGAGAAATACATGATTAAGAATGACTATATTTAACTAAAAATAGTCATTAATAGGGAAAAAAAAGTACTTGAGACAGATGGCGATTAATATAGAATAAATTCCATTTAAACTTGAGGATAACTATTTAACATAAATTATCAGAGAGGAAAATATTGCGATTCATTGCACTAATAATTAAAAAAAAAGCTTAATCTCCAATGAAATCTAACCTGATCGAATATCTTCTCCTACTTTTCCTTCATTTTGTAGCTGACGCAGGAGCATTGCGCATATGAGTTTCCACCAGTAGATGTGGAAAACCAGAAGGGTAAGAAGCATGGTATTGAAAGTATAATAAAATGTTCTAGGAAAATAGTTTGCCTCGATCAATGGCTCAACAGAGTGGTAGCTAAGAAGGCAAACATTGAAAAGAATCAAGAGAAATAGAGGAAAAATTCAAATGATTAAAACCTAAGTTGGTGCTTCCAGACCTTGATGCCTTGATAATCCAGAAGGGGAATAATATGAGACGTAACAAAAACCAAGAGATAGCAAAACAACCAAAGCCAAGGCTAGCTGCCATCTCCTTCTCAGAGTACTTGAATACTTTTGACGCTTCCATAAATACATCACATGCATCATGAAGGGCAAGAATAACTATTCCTATACGGAAAAACCTGCATTAAACAAAAGCTAACTCAAACCTACAAGGAACAGAGCAGCAAAGAAAGTTTTCGTAGGAAAATAAAACAAGTTGCTAAGAATGGCTCTCCTTTCCACCACGAGGTTATGGAACTGGCTCATTAACAATTTTTACAATTGATCATTGATAAGCTATTTTGTATCCTTTATATTTGTCAGGATAGAAATTATGAATTTACAGTCGAAAAGCAATGATATACTATTATTAAGCCAAATTTATGAAACTTCTACTTCAAATCATATCTAAAGCTTAAAATGTAGAATAAAACATTTTGCAGAATTGCATTAATTTATTGATGAGTCACATATACCAGGAAAGTCTCCTTGCTTTAGAATGTTAAAGCAGGAAGGGATAAACCAGAACGTATTTAAATAACTGCCAGAGTCATTATTTATAATTAAGTCATTTCAGAACAACAATCATCTTGGTCTCGAGAAGTCTCCCCACCGCTTCTCCTCTTGGCGCATTATTTGCACTCTCTCTAGAGAAGTCGACCATTTGCAACGCCCTTAAACTCACCCCTCACCGGTACCTTAACACAAGAGGCTGACCTTCACAGGGATTATTTCTCCCAAAAACACACCTCATGTCAGCACCCAATCCTAAGTCGTTCTTTTCGACGCTTTGCCAGCACTCTTTCTTAGAAAGTCACACTTCTTCGCTCTTATGGCTGGCCCTGAGCTGAACTTTTCCAGCCCCATGCAACCTTGCCCTGTCAGACTTGGTCAAAAACTCATTTTCTTGGTGCCTACGAGCTTCAAAAGTGATAGACAGGTTCAAAGACCGGTCCAATTTTATAAGAGGCGGAACTTCGCAGGGAAGTTCCGCCCCCTATGCCTGCCGCCCTTGATGGTGTGGTCCACTAGCTTAATCAAGAGGAAATTAAGGAGGATTTAGGAAGGAAAAATTCAAAGAGAAGGGGTAGTTTGGGATTTGACCTAATTTTGTATGCTTAAGTATGTTTGGAGGCTAAGGTTAGATTTTTTTATCTATGCTTTTGCTGTAATTTCCTGGTTCTTAGCGGCATCTAGAGATTTGGAAGAGCTGGATCTTCCTCTCCAGTAGAAGATCCATTGTATATTGTTGTGTTTCTTCATCTATTATCAATTAAAGAAGTTTGATTATGGTTTTCCTTCCAAGTTCTTCTCAAGTTCTATTTTGCAAAGTGCTTTCCTACAAGGTTATCCTAATGAATTGGTATCAGAGCCCTTCGATATAGGGTACCAACATAAATGTCAATGGCGCAAACTGGCGCGCGCGCACGTTGCAACATGGTGCATATATGACGCTATTTATTTGACGCGGTTCAGCGCGACGCAGTGCATCAAAATAGCATGCAGTATTTTGTTAACATATTGTAAATTATAATTATTTTTTTAGAATTATATATTAATATCATAATCAATTATTAATTAATTAACCTTCAAATTAATAACATATAAAAAAACTTTAAAGGATTTAATTTTTTTGTAGGAATTAAAGCTATCATTTTTATTATTAGGTGGGATTTAGGATAAATTATGCTTAAATACTGCTCAAATCTATTGATGTAAGATTTAAAATCATCATTTTTGCTATTTGATGGGATATTTATGCCTAAATTTTACTCTAATCAACCTATTATTTGTTATTTAATGGTATTTAATATTAGTGAATATATATATTTTTAATTATTTTCAATTGTGCATCATATTTAAAAAGGTGTGTCGCGCCATACGCTATGTGCCATGGCTCCACGAGAATCTTTGCGCCGCGATGCACCATTCGCCACTAACAAATATGGGTACCAATGGCCGGAAGGAAAGTGAAAGTGTTGGAAGGGGAAATAGACCAATTGAAATCAAATTTTGTGGAGAAAATTTAAGAATTTGAATACCAATTTGCATCCGTCCATGAAAAGATGAATGGAAAGTTCGCCGTCATGGAAGAAATGCTGAAGAAATTGCTTGAAGCCAAGTCCAAAATAATGACATCAGAGACAAGGGGTGCTACCGATGGCCAAGGAAGTGGAGGAAACCCTAATCCGATTAGAGGAGGAGAAAATCAAGAGGTAGAGATTTTGGAAGGAGAAGACGAGAGGCCTTCTCTATAGCCTATTTCTAGGGAGGAGATGAGTATTGTGTATGAGTGAAGGGGTGCTGAATTTGCAAGAAGATGGGTGGACTATGAGTGCAGGAGTGCTGATTTTGAAAGGAGGGGGATTTTGAAAAAGTGTTTGGGTACAAATGTAGAAGGGAGGATCGAGAAATTTGGGGAGCTCCTCCTTTTCAGGGAATGGGATGCTATAGAGGATTAAGGGGAAACATAGGCGATCAGGCGATCCAACGGTAAGGAAGCTGAAAATGTCTATCTTTGAGGGGGAGGGCTCACGTGCGTGGATCTATAAGGTAGAGAGGTATTTTGCCGTCAACGAGTTGATGGAGGAAGAAAGATTGACAGTAGCTGGATAAGGCATTGGCCCAGTACCAGTGGAGAGACATGAGGCGGCCCATTCGAAGTTGGAGGGAGTTCAAGGACTACTTGCTGAAACATTTTCGAACCAGCAAAGGTGGGACTTCTATGAGTAGTTCTTCGCTTTGATGCAGGTGGGCTCTGTGGTGGAGTACCGTGACAAGTTTGAGTACCTAGCTAGCCGACTGGACTGGCTTTCTAAGACTGCTGGAGGGGAACTTCATGAGGGGGCTCAAGATGGAGATCCGGGCGTCTGTTAGAGTGATGAGGCCACATGATTTGAGAGAGTCTATGGAGCTAGCACAGTTAGTGAAGGGCCAAAAGGATCTAGAGGGAGGGTCAGGGGGGAGGGGGGGGGGTGGGAGGCAACAGTTCAGGAGGTTTGTACAGGAAGACCACTACTTTGTTAGCTCTCAAGGGACCAACATTGAAAAGTCTTCGTGAGGCTCCAAAGGAGAAGTCTATATGAGGAGGATTCAGGGGAAAATTCAAGAACTCACTGAGAAGGAGCTACAAAAGAAATGGGCAAAGGGATTGTGCGATGAGAAATACACGCTGGAACACAGGTGTACGGATCGAACTCTTCAAGTTCTTACCATCTGTGATGGCGAGGAAGCTAATGAGGGAGCTAAGAGTAAGGCAGTAGTAGAAGAGAAGGATGAGCTACATCATGACATGGCCGAAGTCTCCTTAAACTCAGTGGTTGGGTTCACCCTGATTCACATCAAGAAAGTGAAAAGAGAAATAGAAAACAAAGAGGTGGTGGTGCTGCTGCTACCCATAATTTTATCTCCAATCAGGTGGTGGACCAATTGGGTGTGAAATTGGTGGACATCGGGGGCTATGGAGTGATGATTAGCACTGGAAAGGTGGAGATGGGGAGGAGTGTGTAGGGGAGTTGTACTGACTATACAGGGGGGTTCAGGTGAGGGAAGATTTTCTCTCATTAGAGTTAGGGAGCACTAATATCATCTTAGGGATGAAGTGACTATAGACCTTGGGAGATACCAGGGTCAATTGGGGAGCATTGACGATGGAGCACTGGTGTATGGAAGAATGATGGTAATCGAGGGAGACGTAGGGTGTTAAGGCTATGGTATCTCTAAAAACCATGTTCAAAATCATACAGAAGGTGGGAGGAGGATTTCTAGTGGAACTACAGAGATTAGAAGGGGTCGTACTAGAGGAAGGGGGAACCATTCCTCTCTTAGTACAACCATTAATACAATAGTTTAGTCAAGTTTTTCAGTAACCTCAAGGTTTACCACCATTGAGGGAGCAGGAGCATGGTATCACCTTAGGGGAGGGAGTGTCACCGATTAGTGTTCGGCCTTACTGCTACCCTCAAATTTAGAAGGACGAGATAGAGAACTTGATCTGAGAGATGTTCGAGGCGGGAATCATCAGACCGAGTGTGAGTCCTTTTTCTACCCCAATCTTGCTAGTCAAGAAGAAGGACGGGAGCTGGAGATTATGTGTTGTTTGTTGGGCTCTAAATAAGGAGAATGGGCTAAACAAGTTACTCATACCTGTGATTGATGAGCTACTGGATGAGTTGTGTGGAAAAGTGGTATTCACCAAGGTGGATCACAAGTCCGGATACCATCATATTAGGATGAGGGAGGAGGATGTCTTGAACACTGCTTTCAGGACATATGAGGGGCATTACGAGTTCTTAGTGATGCCATTCAGGCTCACAAACGCCCTTGCCACTTTCCTGTCGCTCATGAACAGTGTTCAAACTATATCTTTGGAACTTTGTACTGGTTTTTTTTTTTATGACATCCTGGTGCACAACAGGTCGATAGGGGAGCACTTGGAGCATGTGAGGGTGGTCTTAGAAGTATTATAGAAGCATCAAGTGAGGGCCAACCCGAAGAAGTGTTTCTTTGCACAGACTAGTGTGGAATACTTGGGGCACATGGTTTCTCAGGAGGGTGACTGCAGATTAGGCCAAGATTGAGGCAATGCAGAAATAACTTCTACCTAGGAATCTGAGAGAGTTGAAATGGTTCCTAGGTTTGGCGGGTACTACAAGAGATTCATAAGAGGACACAATAACATAGCGCGGCCGTTCAATGAGCATCTAAAGAAGGACAATTTCTTGTTGGAAGAGGCAACTACATAGGCCTTTGAAAGACTAAAGAAAGCCATAACCATAGTTCTGATTTTGGTCCTACCAGATTTCAGTCAAATTTTGGTGGTAGAGACGGATGCATCATGATATGGGTTAGGGGTCGTACTTATGTAGAATCATAGACCCATAGCCTTCTTCAGTCAGGTATTGACAGCCAAAGATAGATTGAAGTCAGTCCATGAGAGGGAATTGATGGCCATTGAGTTAGCTATTCAAAAGTGTCGACCATACTTGTTGAATCAGCATTTTATCGTCAGGACGGACCAGAGAAGCTTGAAGTTTCTTTTGGAGAAGAGGATGGCGACTAAGGAGCATCATAGATGGTTCTCTAAGCTATTAAGCTATGATTTTGAGATTCATTATCGGCGAGGATTGAAGAACAAGGC